GCTGCGTCCTGTCCCCTATCCTGTTTGTGTAGTACATGGATAGAATAGTCAGGCGCTGCCAAGGCGATGATGGTATCGGTGTAGGAGATGTGAAGTCGAGAAGGTTGCTATTTACAGACAGCCTTGTTTTACTAGCACCTTCTGAAACTGGTTTCCATTCTTCCTTAGAAAGGTTCGCAATCGAGTGCGACGTGACTGGCATGCGAGTGAACGCATCTAAAACGAAAACCCCAGTGCTTTCTCGTTCTCCTGCCCATTGCTCTCCTCAGATTAACCGAGAGGCAGTGGGGCAGGTGGAGAAGTTCAAGTACCTGGGAATTGTATTTACTAGTGATGGAAAATCGGAGGAAGAGATTGACCGGCGAATTGGTGTATCCAGTGGCTTTATGCTGAACTCGCCCGCCACGCTGTGACGAAAACAGAGCTCAATATTCAAGTCGATCTTTATTCCCACACTTACCTACGGTCACGAATCGTGGATCATCACTGAAAAGCTTCGAACCAGGGTACAAGCTGCCGAAATGGGCTTTCTTAGACGAGTCGCTGGCTTAAGCGTCTCGAAATGGTCCGGAATAGTGACATTCGGAAGAACCTTGCAATACAGCCTTTGCTTCTTCTGATTGAGAGGTCACAGCTGCGATGGCTTGGACATGTGTTGCGAATGCCTCCAGAAAAGAAGGCTAAGCAACTGTTCTTTGCAAATCCGACCGGCAAAAGGCCCAGGGGACGGCCAAGATTAACCTGGTGCAAACATATGGAATAAGTCTGTTCCAGACTTCAGTTGTTTTCTGCCGAAGCTTAGACTCTTGATCATGATCGGGAAGTTGGAAGTTCTGTCTGACGAGCCTGCCTCCGTGACGCAAAAGGAGAAGCGGCGATGGAAGATGAAGATGAATTTCTAACGTAGCTATGAATGCAGCAGTAATGGTTATAATGCGTTTAGTATATGAAGCCTGCAGAGCTAGGTTGCATAGATTTACATTTTTATTAAACTTTATAGCGTATGTATGAAAATCAGAAATTGAAGATATCCTTAAGCACTAAAGCATTCTTCATAATCATCAGTTTCATTGAGCAATAGTATCATTATCAGCATTACAATTGTATTTTACCGTAATTTGCTGTTCTACGGGTATTCTTAACATCCTGATCATTGTTTCGATACTGTTAGTGCAGCTCCGTGGCATAACTTAGGTATTTTTCTTTGATGTGATGAGGTATTTTGAGGTTTTATGGATGTTTTGTATTTGTTGCGAGTCAGTAAAATGCCCACTTGAAGAATTTGTAATAATTTTTTATAATTCGATGATATTCCTTGTGTTTGCTTTGAAACACGTTCAAAATTACTTTCGAATTTCACGCCATCGTTAACTGCTACGTAAACGAATTTATGGGCGTTACGAACTTGCGTTGATGATTCCTCAGTTTAGAGCCCATGTTCGGCTGAAATTCCTGGAGTAACTGGCTACCACCGTCGGGGTGAGTTTCAGAGGAAAGCCTTTCTTTTTCCTATGCATAATCGGAAAAAACACGGAGGAAAAGAAAGAACGATCGTGACCGTCTAATGCCGGTCTTCCTTACCTTTTTATGATTTTACTATTTTGGCGCCTTTTTTCTGAAGCACTGGTACATCACTGACCTCTGTTTCTATGTGATCAACCAAGCGTATTTCGAAATAGAGTATGTAGCAGCTGTTGCAGGCATGACGTACAGTCTCTTGTTTCCTTCCAGGAGGATGGTACACATTTATCAATCTCGGAAGGAGGAGGGGAAAGTGACTGAAATTCGATTCAAGCCCATGAGCTTTCGGTGCGAAGCTCGTTCCATCGATGCTACCGACCGAATAGTCCCGGTTTCCGAACATATAATGACGCCTGACAAAATGAGTTAAAACTTCCGGATCATGCTTCACGTATTAAATGAGAAAATTTGAAAATCAATGCTTTCGTGCTTCTTGAATAATCAGTACGCGGCTAATTCTCTGTAAAACCTATTGCCAAAGTTAGCGTCTTTAGTGGGTTTCCAGTTTTTCGTGTCGATTCGATACGAGTGAAAAAGTCCACCATTTAACGGTTGGAGTTTAGTTTTCTTGTCTGAGTAACTCGTAAGAAATAAAATGCATAACCAAATAAAATTCCATATATGCTTATATAACTGTTTGAATTATTGTTCGGTTCACGGTGCTCTGTTGTCTCTAATAGCATCCACTGCTCTACCTATATCCGAAATGTTCAATGCAAAGAACATGCTTTTGATGTCGAGTCTGTCCTATCCTCTTATTCTGTATCCCCCCATGTCGCAGATAAGAGTGTTGTAACCTATGGTATTCGTTACTTGTGTCTACGTGGTTCATAAGTGAGGATGTTGTATCAGAGAGAAAATGTATGGTGAATGTACTGTTTACGATTGTATGGACATTTGTCGTGAACCTGACAGCAGGATGCGGGTAAATCTCAGCGAAAGTGCCGACCATCAAAGTTGAATATAAAAATATAATGCATTCTTTCCGTTGTTCTTTTTTACATGAATGCAATATGAAAACATACCGTAGGCAGAATGCATATTTACACCATTGTATTTATGCAAAATTGGCTGTTTAAAAGACTTTAAGCATGTTAATTTCTCAATATAAATATTAGCTTGTTTTTTATGACGCTTAAATAAAAATCTACTTTTAGTAATTGAGTTAAGGAAACAGAAAACATGGCTGACCGCGGAGGTTTTCGTGGTGGTTTTGGTGGCGGTGGTCGGGGCCGCGGCGGTAGAGGCCGAGGACGCGGCCGTGGCCGTGGCGTTGGAGGTCGAGGTAAGGACAGCGAAAAAGAATGGGTACCGGTCACCAAGTTAGGACGACTGGTCAAAGACGGAAAAATTAAGAGTTTGGAGGAAATTTACCTCTATTCACTGCCTATAAAGGTACGAACAGAAAGGAAGCATTTGATGAACAAATGACTTGTGAAATTTTGCAGGAATACGAAATCATCGACTTCTTCCTCAGCAGCACATTGAAAGATGAAGTGCTGAAGATTATGCCGGTACAGAAGCAAACCCGCGCTGGACAGCGTACCAGATTCAAGGTATTTGTTAACAGAAGAGCGTTTTTAGCTGCTTCTTGGCATTGCGGGCTTGCTTGTTTAGGCTTTCGTCGCCATCGGTGACTTCAATGGCCATGTTGGCCTCGGTGTAAAGTGTTCGAAAGAGGTAAATCATATGTTAATGCCGAAG